TGTATCCTTACCGGTCCAGATGAAACTGCGACAGATGGAGTCAATTTTCTTAATCACAGTTTTTGGCATGGGAAGACAGTGCAGCCAGTATTGAACCATTGCAGAGGCTATACTTTTCACCAATTGAATTCTACCGATATAGTTTAACAGTTTAGAAGACCAATGGTGGATTCTTGCCACTATTCTATCCACCAAGGGCATAAAATGATTAATGTTTAATTTTATGCCAGCTAGAGGTATTCCTAGGTAACGGAAAGGAAGCGATCCTTCTTGAAAACCCGATAGCTCTGCCAAGCTCCTTCTCTTCACAGTGTCCAGACCTCCAAAATAAATCATGCATTTGTTAGGGTTCATAATTAACCCCGTGGAATTGGAGAAGACCATGAACGTTCGAAGAATCACTTGTAAAGAAATATCATCGCCTCGGCAGAATAACAACACATCATCTACAAAAGTGAGGTTGGTGATTTTCAATTTCTCACATTTGGCATGGTAGTTGAAATTAGGGCCTCTTTGCATTTTTTCCATCAATCTGTTCATATATTCCATGATTAGAACAAAGAGCATAGGTGATAAAGGATCACCCTGTCGAATTCCCCTTTTGGCCTGAAGTATATCTGTGTATTCACCCATAATGTTAAATCTATATGAAACAGTGGTGATGCCTAGCATAATCCAATGGATGAATTTGGTAGGGAAACCCATCTCCTTCATGATGCACTCAAGAGCCTTCCAATTAACCATATTGTATGATTTTTGAAGATCTAATTGCATCATGATCTTAGGTGTACCTCCTTTCCTATTGTAGCCCTTAAGTAATTCAGTAGCAAGCATGATGTGGTTATGGATATTCTGGCCTGGCACGAAAGCTGCTTGATTTTGATTAACCACACTTGGAATGACAGTTCTTAATCTGTTAGTCAGGATTTTGGAAATAATCTTATAGAAAGTGGTGCAGACAACTATATGTCTGTAGTCTTGGATTCCACTAGCATTATGGCCTTTAGGAATCAAGGATACTACAGCATTGTTGAACACTTTGTATATCTTACCTGCTTCAAAAAAATCCTTAACAGTTGCTATCACATCATCTTTAATAGTTGTCCAGCTGGTTTTAAAGAACTTGGCTCCAAACCTATCCAGCCCTGGAGCTTTGAGGTCTCCAATTCCCTTTAGGGCTATGGTAATGTCATTTTCTGATATAGGTCTGATAAGGTAATCTCTTTGGTTCATGTCAAGTTGTTTTCCCATTCGCATGGCCTCTATATCAATGTGATTTATGTTCTCAGTATTTTTACCCATTAGGTTGCTGTAGAAATTAATCACCTCATCTTTAATGTCAGCTATGGATGTTATCAGACTGCCATCAATCTTCTTCAGATTGTTAAGAAAATTGGAGTGATGTCTGGATATTATAGCAGCATAGAAAAATTGGTTGTTGCCATCTCCCTTCCTAATCCAGTCAATCTTTGCTCTTTGATGCAGAATCTGCCACTCCATTTCATTCAGAGTTATCACTTCTTCTGTCAGCTCTTTTGCTTTCCCAATCAAGTTGTTGTTCATCCTGTCATTCTTCAGCTTTTCTTGAGTTTCATTAAGGGTCTTCCTAGAAGATATCAAATTGGTTGTTACAACAGAAAGAGGTTTTCTGAATTGCTTTAAACCCTGCTTCAATCTCTTGAGTTTGTGCCATAGAACAAACGTTGGACTTCCCCTAATGTGGACCTCTCAATTCCTCTTTACCATAGGGTCATAACCAGGCAGATCAACAATGCAGTTGCTGGATTTAAATTGTTTGGAGGTTTCCAATGATCTTGGTTATGAACCAAATAGAGCATGGCATGGTCAGAGATATTAGGAGGGAGGATCTTTAGGGTAGTCTCCATATTGGTGAGGAACCAATCAGTATTGCCTAGCACTCTATCAATTCTTGAGTAAATGGGACTAGCTGTTTGTTTATTGGACCAAGTGAAATGATCCCCAATGCTATCCATTTCACTTAAACCATTTTCCTCATCATATTTGTCAGATCAACATATTCTCTCTCAGTCACTAGATTCCCTCCAATTCTGTCTTGAGATTTGGTCACATTGTTATAATCACCAATAATACACCAAGGCCCTTGGCTGCTAACAGATATGTGTTCAATTTCTGTCCACAAGGTTTTCCTTTGATTTAGATGGTTATGAGCATAAACAGCAGTAAGCCAGTGTTTGAAAACTCCACAATTATCAAAGATACCACAGTGTATACATTGGCTGCTACTTCGAATGAATTGCACATTCACCCTGTTAACATCCCAATGAATCCAGATTCTACCATTTGGATGGTCTTTGTAGTTGTCAATGTGATTTCCATATATAATCAATTTCTCACGAATGGTCTTGGCTTTGGTTTCTTTAACTCTGGTTTCAATCAGAATAATAATAGCAGGCTTTAGCTCTTGGAGACGGGACCGAATCTCACGAATTTTGCCTACTTTATTGAGTCCCCTTATGTTCCATGAGACTAACGTGGCTCAAGGCTAATGGTCAATTGGTGATCATTCAAAATCTCAAGTGCCTCAAAACCATTGTTGCAGTTGATGTTGTTGTTTGTATCAGTAGCTAAGCTTTTTCCTTTATCCCTAACAGACTTCCGTGCTCTTGTCCAAGAATCACTTCCTTCACCTGTTGTTTCCTCTCTTTCGGGTGGTTTGGCAGGAGTAATGTTGGTGGACGTTTCAGGTGGTTTGAGCTTTGGTTTCTAGTGTTGCTTCTTTCCACGATCTTCACATTTATGCCTTTTTTTTTACATGTATCACAGAATTTTGGTTTCCGTTCATAACTCACAGCCTGCATTATTATATCACCTTCAACATTTCTAATGGCTATTTCATCAATCAGCGGTTGTGTGATGTCTACCTCAATCAGTAATCTTGCATATGAGACACGAAGCTTATTTGCAGTGCATTCATCCGTCACCAACGGTTTGCCAATAACGCTTCCAATTTTGCTGAGACTTTTTGTCCCCCATAGATGCAGGGGAAGTTGGGGAAGCTTGAAAAAAATAGGTAAAGTTCTTTGCAAATCCTTCTTTAAGTTGAAACCACTTTGCCATTCCTTCAATATCATGGGCATGTTTCGAATCGTGTAAGGCCCTTTCATCATGACTGCTTCCTTGTCTTCTTGTGAGCTAAATCTGAGCAGAAAATATCCATCATCGTGGTAATACAAATCTGGCATCTTCACGAAATTCCATGTTCTCTGCATAAAGTTTTTCACCATGTTCATGCTCAAGTCATCCCTCGTAACATAAAGGATTAGAGCATTATCCCAAAACTGTATTTCCGTTTCAATATCTTCTTGTTTAATGTCAATTTCAATCATTCCATTGATGAGCTTTGGCGCAACATATTCTATTGCCATTCCTCTTGCAAGGTTCCGGTTGTCATTTATTACATCAACCCATGGTTTACGCTCTTCGGTTTGGGGTTTTGATGATTCTGTTAGGGTTTCATTGTTCTCTCTCGCCATCGCATTTGTAGTAGCTTTGTCTTCTCCGGTGATGGTTGATGAAACATTCCCAAGTGTCTGATCACTACCAGTGGTGTTACTTGCTTCAGGCTCAGGTGTCTTCACGTTAGTGAGAGTTTCCGGTGACGGTGGCACCGTTGATTTCGGCCGCCCTCGTCTAGTTTATATCAAAACAACATAATAATTTTTTTTTATATATTTAATTTTTTTTTACAAATATGTTTAAATTCATTGTACATATAAGGGGCATCATTAATTATTTTATAACTTCGTATCAATAATTTCACTTAAATAAATATTATTTCTTCCTTATATTTTCTCTTTTATTTGTTATATTGATGTCTTAATCCGTGTGAAAATATCAAATAAGAAAAAATCAAATTAAAAATGATAAATAACTACCTCATAATTTTTTTTATAATAAAAACTTCAGTCAATAAAAATCAATATATTTAGTTTAATATACAGTTCAAATATTCAACTTTTATTGATCTATATATTTTTATAAGAATTATGTTAATTTTAAATTTAAGATTACATGTTAACAAAATCTAGAAACAAAAAATTATATTTAAAAACTGATAAGATAAAATAAAATTTAATAAAATCACAACACAATTCTTAAAATAAAACTTTATAATTTAATTCTTGACTTCTACCTTAAAACACAAATCATATCTTTCTTCATATAAAAAAATAGTAATTATGTTAAGTTATACAAAAATATCAAAATAAAATATAATGCAAGAGTGATAATTGGAATTCATAACATTTTATTTATTTATTTTTAAAAATAAATTTTGATCTCTAAAATATTTCCTCTATTCTTTTTTATAAACAATATTTGATTTCTTTAAATTTATTTAATAAATAATGTATTTGGATTATATATAAATTAAATATATTAGTTATTTAATGAATCTAAAACTTTTTAATTAACGTATAAATAAAAATGAAAGAGTATCATTTTCTCTTTTTATTTTTTAATATATGTAAAAAATTAATTGATTCACAATAAAACGAAGGAAATAGTACGAGAGATTAAAAAAAGTTAAAAAAAAAAAAAAAACATGTTGCTCATGTTGTGGAGAAAATGAAATATCATCCATCCATGATCCATCATTGTAAGTCGTCACTTCCTTCTCTCTCTCTCTCCACTTTCTCACTCCTACTGCTCTGCTTTCATGAATGCAACTTCTCTTCCACCGACACGTGTATGTGTGAGTGTTATTCCCTTTCTTTTCCCTTTCATTTAACTCTTGTTCTCAAACTATATTTCATTTCGATTCTCGCATCTATCATCTAAATCACATCTTAATGACTTTTTCTTTGCCTAACTCTCTTTCTTCCAACCAATCTCATCTCACAAAAACCTCACTTTAAGGTTAGTTCTTTCCTTCGTACAATGAAATCTTTGGTTTTCTTAATAACCAAGGTTTTGTTTTCTTAATCAATCTCTCAAAAACAAGGTTACAAACAATCAATATGTCACAATTGTCACAATCCAAACGCGTGTTCTTGAACACCTCGTTTCTCTTGTTGTTTTCTGTTTTTCTTCTTGTTCACTTCCAATCCTCTGACCATGTTTTTCTCAAAAGCAAAACCAACAACCTCAATAAAAACAAAAACTTTGTCTCTGGGACCAACGCTGATCAGAATTGTGAGAGTTTCCATAGCTTATCTGATTATAAAGCTAAATGCTTTTACCTTAAATCAAACGACCCATGTGTCTCTCAAGGCTATATCGATTATCTTTACCTTTTCTATTGCGAATTCGGTGGATTCCCTTTACTGGGTCACACTCTTTTGTTCCTTTGGTTATTGGTCATGTTCTACCTTCTAGCGAACACAGCTTCTGAATACTTTTGTCCTTCTCTTGAAAGCCTCTCCAAGCTTTTGAGGCTGTCACCAACTATTGCTGGTGTGACTCTTCTCTCTTTTGGTAGTGGTGCTAATGATGTTTTTTCCACACTTGTGTCTTTCAAGAGTAATGGAACACAGGATATTGGATTCAACGCTGTTCTTGGCGGTGCTTCGTTTATTTCATGTGTTGTGGTCGGAGTTGTGAGCATTTCTGTTAGACATAAACAGATTCATGTTCAGAAATCTGCTTTGATAAGAGATATTTGTTTTCTTCTGTTTGTTATTGTTTGCTTGCTCACTATCTTCATCATTGGTGAAATTAACCTTGTTGTGGGAATTGGGTTTTGTTTCATGTATGTTGTGTATGTGGTTATTGTTTATGTCACAAGTAAAGGAAAAGATGTTTGTGAAGAAGAAGATGGTGAACATGAAAGTGATTCCAGACATGGCAAAGGTAATGATTTAGGTCTTCCTCTACTTGGTTTTATGGAGAAGGGAATGATTAGTGAAGAGTTTAAAATTGAGAAGAATTGTTGCTATGAAAAATCTTCAATCTTTAGGATTTTACTTTATGTTTTGGATATGCCTCTTTACTTGCCAAGGAGATTAACAATTCCGGTTGTTTGTGAAGAGAAATGGTCTAAACTATATGCAGTTTCTACAACTATATTAGCACCACTTTTATTATCTTTCCTTTGGAAAAACAATTTCTCAAGCTCATCAAGCCTAATGGTGTACGGAATCGGATTATCGGTCGGAGTCACATTAGGACTGACCGCGATTTTCACGACAGAGTCGTCGAATCCGCCGAAAAAGTACTTGTTACCATGGCTAGCTGCAGGGTTTGTGATGAGCGTGACATGGAGTTACATTTCAGCTCAAGAGTTGGTCGGATTGTTAGTCTCAATTGGTTACATATGCGGAGTTAGTCCTTCAATACTTGGATTAACAGTACTTGCTTGGGGGAATTCAGTTGGTGATTTAGTAACAAATTTAACAATGGCTTTAAATGGTGGATCAGATGGAACACAGACAGCAATTTCAGGTTGTTATGCTGGTCCTATATTTAACACAGTTGTTGGATTGGGATTGTCTCTTGTGTCATCAACATGGCGTGAGTATCCTTCATCTGTTGTGATTCCTAGAGATCCTTACTTGTGGGAAACATTGGGATTTTTGGTGGTTGGATTGATTTGGGCACTTGTTGTTTTGGTTAGAAAAGATATGAAGCTTAATGCAATGTTGGGTGGAGGGCTTTTGGCTATTTACTTTAGTTCTGTTATTCTTAGGCTTATACAAACACTTGGGCCTCTTCAATTTAAGGATATGTTATAGTGTGAGTCTTGAAAAGATAATGAGAAGCTGACATTAGTTTGTGTATATGGATTATGTTTATGTAAATTATATGGTAGGTTGGAGTTATTTGTTAGGGCCTAGTAGGGGTATACAAGTATAACTTCCACTTCAATATGTACATAGCTTTTGTTAGTTAACTATTAAATACTATACAACAAATATTGAATAATGGTTTGGTTTGTTGATCTAATACACGTCTCACGCACACGCACACGCACGTTATGGGCCGAAACATTAAGAATTCAGACAATATATTTAAAGAAAAGACACTCTATTGAAAAGAGAAGTGTTCGAACTAATAAACGAGGACTTGGAAAGAGCAATGGGGAAGTGTATGTCTTCGTCCGCCCCATTATCTCTTCCAATTATTCTTCTACAAATTTGTTAATGCTTTGAACATACTCTACTTTCTGGAATGCGAATTGAGAAAATTACTAAAATATATTCATTTCAGTCAACATTGGACAAATTGACAAATTAAAACTTGAGTTGTTTAGACGCAATTTACAGTATTTTGAGGAAAAAAAATCATCCAATCTAAAATGCAATTTGATTTAATATTTTGAGAGAAAAAAAATCAAAACTTGAGTTGTTTAGACGCAATTTACAGTATTTTGAGGAAAAAAAATCATCCAATCTAAAATGCAATTTGATTTAATATTTTGAGAGAAAAAAATCATCAAATCTAAAATACAATTTGATTTAATTTAGTGTAGTTTAATTTAAAATTAAATATTCAAATAAGAATTGTAAAATGTAATATATAAATATTAATATTATAAAATCATACTATAAGAAATAATATTATATAATATATAAGATATAATATAATAAAATTAACCTTAGGAAATAATGATATTCAATTATGTTTAAAATATAAAAATAGTAAATAAATTAGATTAAACTTTAATTAATAAGTATTATCAAACTATTAAAATTAACAAATCATAAATTAGTAGAATGTAGTATACTAACAATTAAATAAATAATAAAATATAGGTATAAGGTTTGGTTTGATTTAAAACAAATCAAAACACATCCAATTGGAACAGGTTTCTAGAAGACATTCAAACGTTTAATACTCCCTCCATCCTAAATTAATATCATATTTATCCTAAAATAAATGTTACTTTTAATTTCAATGCAATTTTATTTACTATCTTTTAATTACATCTCTAATTAATATTTGTAATTTATTACTTCTCTCATTTTATATTGATAATAATTAAAATAAACAAATACAATTCGGTAAAATTAATATTCTCTTTTTTATTTATTACATATTTTAATTTATGTTTATTTTATAAGAGCGGGAGAATAATATTTAGCATTGATAAACACATAATACTATTTAGTTTTTTTTTTCTTTCTTTCAAGTACTTGCAAATCTCAAGTAGGATACTCCATCGGCAACTTCCTCCATCAAACATGAATGTTTGATTAAAGTTTACTCTATCATGTCTTTTACATGTACTAGTTCATTAATTTCATGGATTAGGAGGAAAGGAAATACTGTCTTCTACGAGTAGTTTTTCCCTTGAATTTTGTAGGAAAACATATCTGATTGTCCAAAAGAAGAAACAATTAACATTATGAATGGTAGAAATGGACCACATAACACAATGATTTGAATGTATGAATTGGACTTGCATGAAACATATTGGCCACATTGAAAGGCTTCTTCCTCCAACTTGATAGGAACTTGTTGGATTAAGATTGATTAGGCCAATTATTGCTCCAACTTGATGATGGATTGTTTGAGCTCACGAGTTTTAATATAGTATCACATAGCACATTCGTTTTCATTAAAAAACACTAGGTACACATATAGTATGTTGGAGCTTGATCTTTGGGGGGGTTGAATAAGTATGACAGAAAATAATCAAAGATAAAAACTCAAGTATTTTTATCCTGGTTCGTTGAACTCAACTACTCCAGTCCACCCTTTTCAAGAGTGATTTGCCTTTCTCAACAAGGACTTAATCCACTATTCAAATCAACTGATTACAAATAGCAACACCTAAGAACAACTGTTCTTAGTCTTCTCAAGAGCTACTGATCTAACCTAGATCCTCTTAAGGAAAACAACACCTAAGAACAACTGTTCTTAGTCTTCTCAAGAGCTACTGATCTAACCTAGATCCTCTTAAGGAAAACTTCCTTTACAAATTAATGTAATACAATGTAAGAGTAATAAAATGCTTCTATGAAAGCTATAAACACAACTGTGTTATTTCTCTAAGTTTAGAACAAAGTATGAACAGCAAAGAATATGAGAGCTTGAGAGTTTTTCGCGTGAGAGTGTTCTTGCAATGATTTCGTCACTTGAAGAATGAGCTATGATGTCCTTTATATAGCCACTTGAATATTGGAGAGAATATTTTACCGTTGGAGAAGATATTTCCAATATCAAAAAGGTACAGTCCTTTGTACTATTGCAGCAGAGAGACGGCGCACAAAATGTGGGTGTAGCAATTGTCTGCTGAGCTGTGAATTTACCATATATGGAATGTATCAGAGGAATAATCTTCTGGCAGAGATTTATGTCTATCCCAATTAAGGAAAGATTTGCTGGCATATTCCAACGGATATATTAAAATAATCTTCTTCAAATAATTCTTCAGATAGTTCAGATCAACAATCAATATCAGAGTCTTCAGTCTTCAGAATCTTCTGGAAACTTCAGAGCCTAAGATGTTCTTCAGATGTTGCTGAATCAGAGTCTGGTGCAGCTGTGTGCTTGAAGCGTAACATGCTCTTAGATCAGAGTCTTCACTCAGATCAGAGTCTTCTCTCATTCAGAGTCTCTTCACTCAGAGTCTTCTTTCATTCAGATTCTTGATAATATATGCAGCGTGTTGTATCTTCAGAATCTTGATGACTAAGCTCTTATACTTCAGATTCTTCTAATCTTCAGATGCTCTTGAGCCATTCAGAATTTATTGTTCACATCAAATTTGCTCTTTAAGATTAAAATCTTTTGTGCCTGTAGAAAACAGTTTAGAACAAATTTAGAGAGTATAATTCTTGTATACAAATTATCATTAATGTTATCATCAAAACTTAGAGATATTACTAAGACACAATCTGTGCTCTTACACTTTTGATACCTTATGTATTTCATCTAATATATGTTTTTGAACTGGCTTAGATTCAATATTGATGTTGTCTTTAACTTCTTATTTGTGGGTCTTGACAAAAACCTTTTCAAATCTTAGATATAAGATATTCATCTATCATTGAGTAAACTTTTGACATAGTCTTGTAAGTTGATATTCACTTGTATCTTCTATTTTATTGTGTTGATTAGTAGCATGAGTAGGATCAATATTGTATTGTGAGTAGGGGTGTACGCGGGTTGGGTTGGACCGGGTTCGCCTTAACCCGTTACCCAACCCGTTCAACTTTCAATGGGTTGGGTTTATCATCAAACCCGTAATTCTACTTTAAAAACCGACCCGAATCAACCCGGATATTTACGGGTTGGGTAGGGTTGGGTCCACGGGTTGTGTATATAATAATTATTATTTTCAATTTAAAAAATCTATAACACAATTCAATATAATTTTGCATATTTCAAACAATTAAATTATTTACGTAGTGGAGACAAATCCTACATATAAAATAGAATAATTAAAAATATAACAATTAAAATTTTGAAATGTATTTTCTTTGTCATAAAAAATATTAAGATACATATACACCATTAATTATTTATATATTTTCATTAATATACCTTAATTTATAAAAATTTATTAGTTATTTTGATACTCAAATGTTATCCATTACAAATATATATCAACAATTCAACATATGTAAAACAAATATATAATAATATACAGTATATATTAGTTGTTTTGATACTCAAATGTTACCTTTTCTAGCACTTGCTTAAAAGTAGGTCCGTAAACTATCATATATATTAACACTTAATAATATATAAAATTCCATAAAATATCATTTCCATAAAATTCAAAAGCAAATAAACATCACTTAGTCTTAAAATGACATAGATGTATTGGTCCAATATTGGTCTAATAGCACCAAAATCTAACAGCAAGAGGAGTGGTGACGTTTGAGATTTGCCGTAGTAAAAAAATAGGGTTAGGTTAAGTGGTATTGTCTTTAGTTTAGTAAGTTTCTAATATATACTTAATCATTATTAGTTAATAAAGATTCATTAAAAAAATAAAAAGACAGTAAAGTGTAAACTAGAAGTGCATAAGTCAAGCAAGCATGATTAATATTAATAATAATGTTTAATTATAATAATAATAATAATTTAATGTGTGATTGGAAACTGGAAGGAAAGTGCAAAAGATCTTTGTGTACGTTACAATTTACAAAGTTATAGCAACTTTAAAATTTATAAATAATAATAATAATAATAATAATAATAATATAATAATAATAATAATAATAATAATAATAATAATTATGCCACGTCAACGGCTTGGGTCAACGGGTTCATGGGTTTAGAAACTAAAACCCAATACCCGAACCAAATTTATACGGGTTGTTACGGGTTGGGTCGGGTATACCCGTAAATGAATGGGTCCGGGTAATTAGTGGGTTGATTCGGTTTGGGTAGGCGGGTTTGCGGGTCGACCCGCACCCATGAACACCCCTAATTGTGAGGATGCATGATAATAGAGATGAAGAACTATGTTCACTTACATTTGGTAAATTAGTTAAATGCATGTAAAAAGTTTAAAGTGTATGTACGTATTATGATCATGGTGTTTCATATAAATCAATCATGAAGTTGATATGGATGTTATCTTTGTTTACCATTTTATCTTTAATTTGAACCGCTATAGAAATATACTCTTCAAATCTAGATCTAGGATGATTATTTGTTAGGTTCTAGACTCTAGACATAGATTTAGGCTTAACATTTACTTGAGTATCAGTTCTTAATTTTCTGTGTTGTTAAGTTCTGTGAGATATCACCAATGAGACAATACGGTTGTTCTCTC